TTCGAGTATAAGCTATATCAAAGGTCTACGCCAGTTTCGCCAGTGTGGAGAGCGAAAACCCCCACCGACGCTGCGGTTTACTTCAACAAAACCAAATTCACCTCTGCGCAGCGTCTGCATAAGCCCGGCTCCTGGTCAACCCAAACAAACTGACATTAATACGCCTCGGTGGAGATGACCGAACCTACACGTTGCTGGCCAACCTCAACATTACGCGCCTTCCATGAAGAACCTAGGTTTGTCCGTGGTTAACACGAACATACTATACCGAAGCGCAGTGTGCATGCCATGTTTGCTTAAACGCAGCTTTTGCACTTATTCCGAAGTGGATATCACTTCTCCTCCGTCGTAACGGCAGTGTTAGCGTAGGGCTCGCTCGCCAACTGACCAATCACCCGAAGGAATGCACAGAATATCGATCGCGTTTAAGCTGCTTTCCCTTTACATGTTTTATCGTACCAAAGCGGGAGCAAAACACACAACTGTATACTCTTTATACTCTTCAGTTTCATTCGAGAAGCAGTCTGCAGGAGACCCGCTGTCAGCGTGACTATATTCAAAGAGCGTGAACAGGCTAGTCACAACCAGTCAAAATGAATGGCGCATAGTGCTAATCACTATGGATAGAAAATAAACCGAGCGTAACCACCAGTTTCGCTGCATGTCATTGGTCACCCTTTTCCTAGATCGTCCCTGTGTATCTAGGTCCACGCACAGAAGTCAAAAGTTGGATCATTTTTCCAATTAAGCACAGCTACAGGAACAGTTAGACTTGCCGCAGCCCTCTTCAAATTCAGCGGACCTGATCTTGTGGTTGAGTTACACAAGTTATAATTGAAGCTGTGGAAGCAGGAGACTGTCCCAAAAGAATGGAGTCACTTTGCTTTTCAAAAGGAGCTCACGTTCGAAAGGCGGCTACCATAGATGTGTTAGTCTGATTGCCATCGCCTTTAAATTACCTGCTTCTGTCGTTCTCCGCAGACTCGCTGGCATGCATGAAAACTAGATTCGTAAAAGACAAGTCGGGTTTTGTCGCAGTCGGATCTTTATCTACCGCACCTTCATGTTACGTCAGTTTTTGTAGGCCTGTCACTTATATTGACCACGCAGTATAGTAGACTTCGGTTCAGTGGATCGAGGTACTCATTGGGACTTTTTGCTCAAGAATTTTACGCATGGAGGTATGCCTAATTCTACACAGGGATGTTTACGCATGTGGTTCGTACAGTGTGCTGTCTTTTGGCAAATTGTCGCTGACCGACAATATCTCTAGCTGTGTGAGATAGGAATGCCCGCTGTCACCGTTCCAGTTTAGCGTTGCTATCGACGGATCCGTGGAAACTACTTGACATGACTTAGAACGAATGAGATTGACTCCAGATGAGCGATTTCTGACGCGGAGTACACCGACAGTATTGCTGTAATTTGTGACAGTTTACAATCGTGCCAATCAGCACTGGCTCTCAATCGTTTTGAGCTGTGCTTACCACCCACTAGCTCCAAAGGTTTTGCCAAAGACTGATAGGGATTCACCCCCGCGTTTACTCCTAATGGTGAGCGGCCAAACGCCTTCCTGAAATTCAGGTTCCTAGGCGCCTATAATAGCGTCTGTGAGACCGAAGATGCGACCACGAAGCGTATAGCAAAGGCACGAGCCACTTTTGCAACTCTTCGCCACCTGTGGCGCCGACGTGGCATTACTCTTGGTTTGTTGGAAGAAAAATGACTGAAGTGCTCAGCAACGTTTGCTCACGCAGTATGCTCCTGCGGCTGGATCATGTGCGTTGTTATTGCGACAGGGATGTGGATGGATAAGAGGAAGGGAGGCCAACAGATGACTTAGTCAAAAGGAATGATATCCCTGAATTATCGTCTGCTTTTGGTTTCTGCTTCTCTTCGGGTTTGTAGCTATTGTCTGTTAATATTAAGGCTGATGATGCGAAAACCACTTCATAATTGTGCTTGTGGTTTGAGGTTCTTTATCTTGCTTGCTCTAACTTAGGCTCTTACGGTAAGCACGATCTATTTAGGGCATAATCTAAAGCAAATCATGATAGTTATTCTTGAATCAGAGGTTTGGAAACCATCAGTTGGGGTGGGCGACACCTATTTGCCAGTTGGTATAGTTGTTTGGTAACGTGTCGCTCTTGACACTGGAGCTTCGTCAGACCAGGTGAATCAGTGTGCAATTGAAGTGGTATTTTCTAGCGGACAGAGGCGATAACTGCGGTGCTCGTAACTTCAGCCATGCTGACATTACAGTCACAGTTCCACATGTCACCTCAGGTGGTTCGATCGCAGCGTGACTAGTCTAGTGGCTTTTTTGTGCCTCATGGCATTGACGGATTAACCCATAGAGTCGGTAGTGGGAGTCGAGTTCAACTTTCTAATCTGATCTGCGCACCGACGCTCTTCAGACTGGCCTGATTAAGATCGCTCGCCAAGCACTGGGGAGTTCTATCTCCTTCATTCTATTCACTCAGCTGTCCGAGTTGGTTATTTCCAAGGCCTCGGCAATCAACCACTGTTGTGTTGATCCTATACCCCTACTGATGACATATACGTTATCCAAGTCGACCTGGTGACCCATATCGAATGCATGCACAGCCACAGCCGAGTCTCTTACTGTTGCCTGGTAATAAAACTCGTTCGTCGTTGGTTTTGTAATGCGCCTTCTGTGCTCCGAAATTTGTTTGCGTAACTCACTTGCAGTTTAGCATTTGTACACATATGTACAGTTTTACATTTAATTTAATAAACACAATTAGTTGTCCTATCTTTGGTAAGGGGGTCCTTTAGACGCATCTGCGTTGAATGTAGCGTTTGACCTCGCTGGAAGATCACCCTTATATCTTCCTTATGTTGTACCCACCGAATTTCCTCCGAAGTGTTTTCCTTGTACGAAATTCCTACCGACCCCATCCACTCCGTCATGCGCCTTGACTGTCCGTTTAACACTTAATGCAGCTGACGTTTGACTAATAGCCGTGGATTACCACCACATAATAGTTTGCGAGTTGCCATTTTCCGCGTAGCCCTTTTGTCTTCCTCCATCATGCGCAGAGATTGTACCCCTTAGAACAGCGCTGAGCTGATCCCGGCGTAAACCTGCTTCTGATAACCCGATGTGTAGTGTAGTGCCCCATCAGTACCTATTGGTGTTCGATATATGGTCGTCTTAAATTTCCCCCATTTCTGTTAACTAGGCAGTCAAGAAATAGGAGAATACAATATTCCAACTCAGTAATAAAATGTATGCTCTGGTAAATAGAGTTTAGATGATCCAACAACGTCCTTCTTATTCTCTTTAATATGTACAAAGGTGTCGTTTACATAGTGCCGACCAAACACTCGGGGGTTACTGGAGTTTGTAAACGCCCTATTCTCAAAGTCTTCCATATACAAGTTCGTCACTTCAGGGGATATTAGCGATCACATGGCGAGGCCTTGTTCCTGACTATACAGCTTCGACTGAAAAAATGTAAGACATGTTTAGACACACTGTCATACCCTCGATTATCCGGTTAGCCGTAAGTTTCGTCCTAACACTCAGATTGACATCTTCATTTAGACAACATTTTACTGTTCCTAGCGTCTTTCCTTTCTTTAAATTGATGAAAAGTGAAGTCACTTCGAAAATTGCCACCAACTCATCTGGCTCGATGGCGAGACGCGGTATTGTTTGAGATAACTCATAAGAGTTCTTCACGAATGTACTCGTTCGCCCTCTTAGAGGCCGCAATAGGCTTGCCAATTATCTATTAGTTCATGGATCGCGGAGCCTATACCGTTGACTATGGGTAGTACAAGAACGTCGGGTTTGTGGGCATTTGGCAAGCCATAAACCCTTGGAGGTATAGACGATTTTGAGTATAGACCGTACCCCTTGTCTGCACTTAAATCTTCCTTCACGGTTCTTAAATAGTTCCCAACATCCGTCTTACTCTTGCCCATTACTGCTGTCACGGTTTTACCAACAACTACTCTATATGGGCCCGTCTCCAAATGATGCAGCTTTTTCAAAATATTCTGACCTGTTGCTTACAACCAGGGTTTTCCCCTTGTCAGCCTTTGTTATTACACTACTGCGATCTTCCTTCAAGGAATTCAATGCTATATGTTCCGTTTGCGAAGGATTTACCGGAAACTTCATGATATTTACTAACTTTGCTCGAATATTCTCCGTCTTTGCAGTGGGCAACTTCCTCACCGCGCTCTCAACGTTTAGAATAATCTCCTCCGCATATATCTTAGTTTTAATGATAGTAAAGGTCAGATCTCTCTCCAATAGTCTAGCTTCCGTTTCATACAAAACCTTATCTGACATATTAACCACATTACAATAGCTACCGTCTTCGCTATAGAGGCCAGCTCTATTGCCCATTGGTTCACCTAATCTGACGAAGCTCTTGTGTCAAGCTCGAAAGCTTACTAAACAATTATACCGACTGATTGTTTCCGAAACTCTCCGAACTCATGACTTCTCGACCGGTTCCAAGTATCTCCCGAGATTTCTCCTGTTTTTCTTTTTACTACCTCCTGTTTAAACTACGTCGCGGTGCAATGCCAGCTGTGTTCCTCTCTCTTAGATTACGTGTGAGGTGATGATGATGGTGAGTTATGTTGTAATTTACTGAGGGGAATAAGCTTCGTCCTTGTGTCACATCCACTGTTACATAATAATATGTAGATCAGCTTTCATCAGAGTCACTGTGGTTAAAACACCAATTGTATGAACTTGTGCGCTTTGGCTTTCCACTCTTGCGTCCTAATAAGGTGTGAGGGGTTTGAACCTGACATATCATGTTCTCCTTTTTAAGGGAACTGGATACGTAAATACTGGAGACGCAATGCTTATGCATGACCTATTCGCGAATGGTTTATTTAACTCGAAACCAAGTGGTTCATTTCATCAATGTGTCTATAATTTTGACGAAAATCCACTCCACCAAGCCATGCTTTGAATGTTATCTCGACTCGTATTTTGTATTTCTCCACAGGAGCATCTACAAGCACTTAGGAGTGGATATTCGTCGATAGAATTGAGGAATCTAATGTTTAAAAACGCCGGGACACTTCCAGACTCTCGGTTGACCGAAGATGTTAGCAAAATATATGAGTTGTGCGGCCTTCCAAAACCAACGACTGAACAGATCAAATTGGAGGCAGTCCCACCGTCGCCAGTATTGTCACAAGATGCCATTTCTCCAAAACCGACATCCCCAATGAGTTTCTTCAAATCGAGAAGAGCCTCAAAGGACGAATGGAAAGAGCCGGTGGATAGCGCAAAGTCATCCGATGCTGATGAGAAGCATAAAGGTCTTGCGTCGACAAATGAAATGGGTGAGATATGCCCCGAAGACAAGCCGTCAAGTGTTTTGGTTAGGCATATGGATAAAAGCAAGTCAGTAGGAGAAACTGAAGGAATGGTTGAAGTGACGCTTGTCAGCAACGGTGTAGCGAACAGCCATGTTAACAATGATGACTTATCAAGCCGGAATCTTAATGATGTTGTCCATGAAACTATAGAAGGAACAAGAATTTCCGACACAGTGGAACCTTCGATGAGAATCTCAATGTCAAGCAATGGAGCCGATTCGTCGGCGACGTCACCTAGGAAAATTAAAATCGTTAGATCTAAAACCACGGAATCAGCAAATACTACGAACGAGGTGGACGAATATTTATCTCAAACATCAGAAGAACAGAGAAAAGATCAACGAAGACGCGTTAGCATTGTACGAGGCGGATCCAAAGCCTAGAGAACGGTTTGTTATTAATTTCCACTCCGAAGGTGTTCCTCTCATCACGTCAATCTACTCCCACCCATACGGTTTTGGAATGTCATTAACACTGGAATTTTTGTCAGAAAGTAAAAGAATCACCAAATGTCTGATAGTGGAAAAGCACTTCCAAGTACTAAACAACAAAAATTATTCACTTTTGTACCGCGTATCTAGCTAAAGTTGACTATTGTTCACATGGTTTCATCACTCTTCTTTTACAGCAGAGGAATTTTGACAAGATCAACCGGTTTCGGCCCCAAAGTGTAGCTGTTTTAGATCGACCGATGTGGCTGCGAAAACAATTACAACTAGTTTGGGTGCTTATATTTACTGCAAATGAACCACTGCTCTGGTGAAGGCATCGGTACATTGTGTACAGAAATGTACCGTTCTTCAACCCATAGAGATTAACTTGGTCGTGCGAGAGATCGTGGTTCGGTAAATCATTAATAAACAGTCACGACTAGTTAGAGGAATTAAGAAAGTGTCCATGCTTTGTCTGAAGTAGCAGTTTACAAATCCACCCTCTCATACTCGACTGTACTATCCACTCAAGGATTGACGAGTAGTGGTGGCATTTTAAGCAGCGGTAACATGAAATTATCCCCCGTAATAGAGCTGTCTTCTTGTGGATCAATTAAATCATGGTATTTCATTAGCTAATGTAATCCGTATCTTTAACCTTGGTTTCCGAAATACGAATAACCTGTGGCCACGAATTCCCGAGATCAGGCAACACAGCCCCAATGCGAGTTTTCGGCGAATATTACAAGTATTTTCAAGTTAAAACCTGGTAATCAGTAGAATTTGGCTCTACCTTAATTTGAATTGCATGCAAGCTGGTATTAATCCGACTTCAACCTGTGGTATCATATTGTCGCTGAAATCATATGTTGCTCTATGCAAACATGAAACGCCAAACGTTAGTCATGTTACCACTGTATACCTTGTAATGTGGCCTCATCGTACATTTTGACGAAAGGGAAGTGAAACCACGACGTATGACTTTGTAACTCAGGTGATTACGTTTGTAGTGATATTTCGCACTCCTGTGTCTCGGTATGAAAATTTAACTACTTTCGTAATCGCTTACACTCTGCAAGTTGAGAAAGCCAGGTTGATGTCGAAGACATTTACCCTTGGCTGTCACCTGGATAATTTGACCCCAACACACCACTGGTTTCTAGAAATGCTTACGCAAAACATAATACATGTGTAAAAACACCCATCTTCCACACTCGTCACTTGGTGCTGGAGTATGTTGCACTATTGGCGTCCATATTGGTACACTGATGAATACCATGTAGTTGCTGGGCTATTTCACACAAGTGCTATGTCTGAATCGTTTTGTGCTAATGCTGCTTGCAACCCGAGTAGCGCGATCAGTAACTCAGACGGTTCATTTACATTGAGCCAACACACAATTTATCGATAAAATAGCTTTGGTCGGCATTTACCGAAATAAGCAGGTAACATGGATTGACAAGGCGACTTGTCTTCTCGTGGGAGAAGTGCAAAATTGCACATAAAACAACTTGGCGCGAACAGGCTGTTTTTATTTCTGCCATGCATGCATTACGTATACTACATAGGAGCACGTGTGCGTCAGGTCGTGTAACGTAGCACTGCCGAAGAAAGCCAGTGTGCAATACAAAATCAAACGTGTATGGACCATGGCTTGCTAAGGAATGTCTTTGCTTCTCATTCCAATGTTACAATTTTGCGATGTTCGTAAGAAGCTGGTGGTGATGCGAAGCCGTGCGGGTTGTGTTTTTAAGGTCCCGGTTTTCCCCAAGTTGGTTGTAAACTTCATCGCAACTTTATGCGGCATTGTCGTATCGCTGCGTTCGATGGCCCATCTCCTCCGAATGTTAGCAGTACATTTTTCGGTCTTAATCTTTCACTAAATGGAGTTAAAAAAATGTTAGCAGCCAGTTCATTAGCATCAAAAATGCTGTAAACCATCAGCTCCAATTATCTAATAATTTAAACACTAACTAATGTACCAAAAATCACTTTTCCCTACACTAGCAGTTAAGCTTACCAGTTGTATAATCTATTAACTTTTCTCCAAGTACTGGAAATGCCTCAGCATGTGCGTTTTAAGCTTAGCTTTACTTGACTTGCTTGGAATAATGGTGCGGTCTCTACCAAACATTCCTCCAGTAGCTGACAGAAAGTTTAAGCAATGTTAACTGCATGTTGCCCACCCGAAAGTACTCCACAACACGGCGCGTTTCGATCTAATTTGACCTTGTCAGCTGAAGATAGCCTGTCTGGAACGCGCGATCCTTAGAATAGTAACCGGAACCACTACACCATTGGCTACAGGACACGACGGGCAATAGTGTACAAAATAATAACCATATTATTGGGCCGCTGCGTAACGTAAGCTTCTGATTGCTGCTACTCTGTAGATAGATAAGACAAAATCGGCTAGAGTAGTGTTACGTTGAGGTGCACATCAAGTTTCCGCGATGCATTCACAAAATATCCCCGTTAAACTAATTTTAAAGGCATGGTAGCCTTAATCATTATAGCAGCTCGTCGGAATGGAGCGGAGATCCAGAAGCGAAAAATCATCAGCCTGCAGCCCATGTATGTGCTAATCAAAGTACCTTTTCGTACTTACGTTTTTATATGCGAAATATAGCTAAATACAGAAAAAAAGTAATGTACCAGCCTTTTTGAATGGAAAGCCTAACTATATTGCTGCATTTATTTTCAAATCGACCAAAACACAATTAGACGACGGACAACCTTTGAAATCGGAAAATATATTTACTCACAAGAAAATAATACGGCGATCATTTCGGACTCCACCCAAACGCCCCACCACAACAAAGCGATCAGCAACCAATTTGAACGAATTACGCCAGTCACGGAATACCAGAAGAATCTGTCGTCAGTACTGGTCCTTGGTATAGTAGAGTTTAATTTCAAGTGGAAATATACGCACCGTGAAAGCCGTCCTTATCGGGAGCAGTTAAGCAGGCAGGTGCATGGAGCAGTGCAACATAAACAGGGGAGATTAGCAAATGCGAAACACATCGGCATGACGCGTAGCTTTTGTCTTCTTGTGGACCAAATGCTACCCTGGAGGCATTGGACTAGACGTACTACAATCGTTGCCCAATAGAGTGACGGGGAATCTAGTAGCTGCGTCATCTGTATTGTTTTTTCCTGATTCACATTTCGTGAATCGCTACAAAGGTGTCAATGAAAACGTCAGTCACCCGTTAACAGTATTACCGCTGTGGTCGAGGATACTAATAGAACCGCCAAATCTGGTGGCTATCAACAATGTAGTAAGGTGTGGTGGGGACACATTCCTTGTAGGAGTCCATTGCGATTCAAATAAAGAGAATGACGATCAAAAGTGACGTTATATGGGGCGAAGCAACACTGAATAGTAAAGAGCAACCTGGAAGCAGGATTTTCCTCGATATACAGTGGATTGGATAGCATTGCTTGTCAGGCAGCTAGAAAAAATGATGTGTAAGTTGCAATTGTAATGTTTTCGTCCCAGCAGCTCACAAGCTACGTAGCTCAATCTAGTCCGGAAAAGCACCACCTCTATTAGGACTCGTCAGTAGTGCGCATCCCCTCGGTCCCCTACTGGGGCTCGAATCCATGACCTCTAGAGGCAGATGTCAACCAACCAGCAGCTTAAACCACTAAGCCATGGGGGATTTCGGCTGGGCTACACAATTGGCAAGCTAACGTAAATATAGCACGACCTGTTTCACTGTCACGCAGGTTACTACAGCAGCTGACAGTGGCTAGCCTCCGAAGGCCATGACTTCCTCTTACTAGACGCTACGACCATAGCATTTGAAACCAGGACAGGCCGAATTTTATATTACTAATGCGTTGCAGGATGTTTTAATTGTCATGGTAATGTTTTCGTTCCATCTACTCACAAACTACAAGTTGTTAAGTTTTGACAAAAGTCACAAAAATAAGTGACAATTATGTAGATGTGTTTGATGTAATCAAGCAGGGTTACCGGGCTGGGGCTTGGAGATGAATTAGGTAGATCAACGGGTGGAAAAAGGGTGGGGGTAAAACAGGAATGGTGTCCCGCCTAGAGAGCTGTGATGAGTATTCGGCAATGTTCGACTGTATTGCACTTATATCTTGGATATCTCGTGTGGATTGCGTCTGTTGGAATCAAAGTGATGAAGTTCATTTGTGTTGACACACACACCGAATGTGTCGTTATTGTTTGGACACCAAACCACTGTATTTATCTGGACTATATGAGCATTGGTTCTGTTTTCGTTTCCTTGCATGAACCAGTTGTCCTGTACATCTGTCTGTGACAAAGCATTGCACAGTTGCCCAAATTGTAGCGCTGATTAGGTAACTGATGTGCAACATCTTTTGTTTCATTTTACATCACTGATCTGAATTTATCTTCTGTTTAACATGCCTCTTTCTGACAAAGTGTACAGTGATTCGCGTGCAATTATGAATGGTACCTACTTAAATTGTGAACGCCTGTTGAATCTGGCAGCGATGCCCGATGCTTTTGGTCTTCAATAGGGGTGCGTACTGAAGATAGACGGGAACGGATGTACGGGCACTTCTGTTGGACGTGATACGAAGGTGGCTTTTGTTTAATGAGTAAGTTAGTAAAAGGACGACAACAGTTTGGAACTTCAACCCTGCCGTTGATTTGGGTCTTCTGTGTATACACTATACTTTGAGTCGAGCTTGGTTGGTCGAACAAGGGAGCAGAGTGGTATGTGAAGCTACCACCCAGCAAAATCGTGGAACACTGCGATTGACATGTGGGGCATAAGTCGAAATAAGAACGCTGAGTTAACTTTAACTGTGCAGCTAGAACATCAGGCATGCAAGTGATGGCATGATTATGGGACAACTTTGCAATCCAGAATTTCGATCTTAGGCTTAACTTTCAGCAGAACATTTGGAATACGAGGTTAAATGTGAATTTTAATGACTATTGAAGACACGTCAGCTTCCTGAAGCAAAGAAATACGCCGAATAATGGCAGCCAAACCTCTTTGAGCACATGACCTCGTTCGGCTCCAAGTTTAGTTCACAATTTTGCATCAACAGACAATCTCCCTAAAGCCAGTAATTGGGAGTTCGCATCAATTTATGCACTAGAAACCTTGTATATTGCGTTCAATTCCGTAGTAAGCTCAAGAACATAATCTGACCAAGTCATAATTACTATTAGCATGCTTTATCATGTTAAATCTTTGCTAGTTAAATCAGTTGGATAGCCAATGCCGAAATTTTTGTCGTTCAGCTAGTCAATAACCAGTAGGAATGCAGTGTGTATACATGAAGTCAGGTTGCGATTATCACCAGTACACTTCACCTAACCGAATACCGATCTGTGGACATACTCAAAGAAAGTAGAACACCAAGAGCGTCAGGTGGATGTATTCGGAATTAAGTATTGTCTGATGAGCGGAGCGTATGCGCCGGTAAGGTAGCAAGCTAGGACAAAAGAGCCATACTCAGCAACATCAAGCTGAGATTTGGTTTTTCGGCACAGTCTAACCATGTTGATTCAAACATGAGCCGTTTGCAATGGTTTACCTTGTAAAACTGCAACATTAGATGAGCGTTAATGTGACCCACAATGTGAGCACAGTCACATCAAATGCCGAGCACTACAGTTGAATAGTAAAAACAAATAAAATGCTCTGAAACAATGGCTGTTCGCTTCTTACAGATGAACGAGGACAAATGATGCCTAAATAATTTAAGGTTGGTTGGTGCTGACAGATTTTATAGTTCGCAGCTAAAGTTCAGTGCACTTTTTCTCACATATCATTTGGTGGGTGAAAATGCTAATTCCGTTTTGATTGCATTTCATTCTTGTTTCCAACACTAGAGCGCTTCCTTCAGCAATGCTTTTAGTACTAAGTTCCGAGGAAATCGGAGCGTTTGTCCTACCGTACTACTTATATGTAGATGCGAAACCTCTGTGTTTAAAAACTCTCGGATGAATGGAATACAGTATTTCGATCAGTGCCTGAATCAGCGTTAGGCAACCTAGAGAATGAGTCATCTAGACTAGTGCACATAAATTTAGATTTTCTGGTAATTTCCTCTAACAGGATAAGTCTTACAGTGTTTAAACCTTGCTCACTTCAAGTGACCAAAGGTTCCTTTTGGATTCCTTCAGGTGTCAATGTAAACTGGGAGAAAGCAAGCGAATGATGATGTACAGCCGTGTTAGCGTGTCCACCGTATCTATTTTGTTGCTGACGTAAGATGAGCATCTTTCAGCAAGAGGGAAGCGTATACTGCACAATATTACAGCAAATGCTGCGCACTCCACCGCTGCCGTGTTCGTCTCCGATATAGGACAGGTTTGCATTGTTCGTCAGTAACTATTTGTTGCTGAATCACTGTATTGCCGAAGTGCAACTTACGGTAGATCCATTATTGTGAACCAGTCGCTCAGGTACAATGAAATAAACACTGCTCCTTTCGCTGAAAACCATGAACCTCCGACTACAGTGCCAAGGACCACTACATATTGTAAGGAGCTATTCTGAACCATACAACGAACGCTAACACTGGGAGCATTAGCGTTTGTCACATTTTCAAATATTGTCTGCATGCTCCTACAAACGTTTTGCAGGATCAACAGAAAAGACTACAGTTTGAAAGTACCAATTAAAAAAATCTCCTGAAATATCAGAAGCAGTCCCGTACATTTCTCTCTTTACAGCATTTTGAACAATGAACAATGAACAATGATTTATTACAGGTAAAAAAGCGATTGCTTTACAAGTCCCGTAGGATGGTTGAAGTGAAAGTAAACATCAGTGTTAATCTTCAGTTTAAGCTTCTAGTGCATTCAAGTGCCTCTTATTCATAGAAACGCTGTAGAACATGTACTGAATTGTTACTGTAAAGTATTATGGGAAGTAATTTGGGTAAGGCAGGTCTTAAGAACAAGAGAAACGACCAACGCTTACTCGTGCGCCGCTTTCTTGGACTGGGGTAAATTGATGAATGCAGTTGTAATATATCCGATACTATATTCCACAACAGCAGTGTGTAAATAGTGAAGCACAAAAGCTGAGAATGATCACCGTATTTTTTCGTGTTTGTTCAACGTGGACATCTCTGATTATATAGCGTAATGTAGGTGGATAAGCGAATCATCCAGACGCCTTTTAAATAGCGATAGCGTGGGGGAAGAAACAACATATGTGGGAAGAGCGTTCCAGTGTTGGCACACACGAAGGGAAAAGAAATTCCGGCGGCATTCCAACCGGCTGTATTGTGTGGCCAGCTTTAGATGGTGCCCTCTGAGTGTTGTATTGCTATTCAGCTTAAGTAGGTGACGATAACAATGGTTTGGATTCCGCTGGATCATATAAGTCATTATCAAGTCGCCACGCAGGCGTCGATATTGTCAACTGTAGACCCCGAGGGTTTTCAGTCTCAATCGGTAAGAGAGATGAAACAGGCCCTTGACGTTCTTGGTCGCCCTTCGTTGTGACAGTTCAAGAGCGGTAAGGTCTTGCTTCTGCCATGGCTGCCAAGCGTGGATGGCGTACTCAGAATGAGGCCGAATGTAGGCGTGCAGCATCTGGGAAAAGATCTATGTTTAACGGTGCTCTTCCCCATTTGTTACCCCTTTTTGTTGGGTCCCCGCACATCAAAGCATAACAAACTCCACAGTCAGCCGGATACACTAACATCCACAAATTCTCCCCGTACATATACTGTAGGGGGCTCACTAATGTGAGCCCCATTGGGTCAGGTCGCATTAGGGTTCACCCTCATTTGCATCGGATGCAGTTCACATCACTTCCAGGCCCGTTAGGTCGGTGTGAAGGCCGGAATCCGTTGAAGACTGACTGGTGACGGATAGTCTTCACGTGAGTTGAAGAGAACTATGTGGCAGTCTGCAGATTTCCCTGGTTTGTCTGTGGCGGTACTGGAAAATTCCAACTAAATTACTGTTTCACAGTACACTTAAGTGATCGGTTCGGAATGTTGAACTGCATATTAATTTCGATTGTTCGAATCGAGCACCGCCATTGCCTTGATGTTCAGTTGGTTTGCGAAGAGCGACCGCATCGTGTGCTGCGCCCGTTTTACTCCCGTAGCTAACCATGTCCAGTGGCGTCGATTTTATAGTCAGACCAACGGGGAAGCTTTTACTATACAAAGGGAAAGTTTTCTTGTATTTAACCTGACAACTGGAACCACTACTTAGCTCCAGCTGCAGACTCAATGCGCTTAAAAACTGATATTCAAAGTGGCATGACAGTGGAAGATGAGCCGAGCTATATCATAGTCCACTGTCAATCACGCAGATCCACGGCTCTCACCCATGGTGAAGTGGCACCAGTTGCTAGCATCCGGAAGTCCTGGAGGCGGAACCCGGCAGGAGACCAATGGAAGACGCACCACTGATGAGACTCAGAAGCTCGGAACACCGGAGTCTGATGCCTTTCCAGACTTGCCGAATGCGGCTAACTAGGAATGACAATGATGAATATTCTGAATCATACCGAAATCCACACTATTCATTAGTAAGATGAGCATTTGTCCGTATAACTTCTGAAGAGGGTGGTCTGAAGAGGGTGCCACTCACCTCTTCTCTTCCATAAATAGACAAATGTTAGAATCCGGTTTGCCCGCCTACTTTCCCATTCCCCGAGGCGAGGCACAAAAGATCGGACGGGTCCAACACGTTGCTACCAGGCTCATCCCGAGTTTGCGTGGCTTGGGTTATGAAGACCGGTGCAAGAAACTAAGACTCCACACCTTGTTCTACCCTAAGGTGCGAGTCAACCTAATTATGACCTACCGTATTCTACATCTCGGTGACTTCCTCATGCTGAGGCCAACCCTGCACTTAGAAGGGCATGCAGCACACGCGTACGCAGATACAAACTTGTCCTGCCGGATGTGAAACGTGTTCCCCACCCACTGTGCTTCGAACAGAGAGCGCTAAATATTTGGGACATTTTGTCTCAACATATGATAAAGGAAACATCTGTGCAGCAGTTCAAAACGTTGTTAGATTTATATTTTACCACTATTCGATTCAGAGAACGATTGCACACTTAAGATGACATGTCACATTTGTAAGTGTTGCAATACCGTGAGTCAGATAGTTTAAATGTTACATGAGAACGAGAACGATATTCATGGCTGACAATTTGTATAAGGTTTTTCACCATATTTCGCAAGAATTGTACAGAATTGTTCTATAATACAATATTTAGTATAGTATCCAGTATTCATTTTAAGTGCTAGTGCCGTCATTGTGGCCCATTATCTGAGGTGTGCTTCACAACCTCAGGTAACGTGTACTGAGGATAATGTTGCTGCTGATGATGATGCTAGTGCTGTCCTTCAAAACCTCGTTATCTGCTCCTTTTTTAATTTTCTTGAACCATGTGTTATCAACATTCCAACAGTATGCACTTACGCGATCATACTGATACAGGCGTGTCTTGCATCATCAAGGAGAAAGTTTAGTCATTATTTCGTTTGTACCTTTTTATAAAACATATATGCTCTTACCGTGCTGTTGATTTTACTGATTTGTAAGTACCGATATTTATCAAGTCGCTTTCTTAACTGAACTAAGCTTTTAAAGCGGCTGGGTAGGTTTACTGTCTGATAAACCCCAAATTGATCACAGGGGAAACATTCTTCTTCAGAGATACACATTGATTCACCGTACCTGATTATGAAGAGACGCTGTATGGGCCAACAAAACAAACAAATGGACGGGAACGGAAAAGTAAGACGGACTGTTAACTTGTTGATGCGGATCGAACATTTTCACTTAGTCTGGGGATTTCAACTTACGTAACAGCCCTCCTTTTATGTTCATCGAGAGAACTGCCAATTGGTTCCCTTGCAAACTGATGCAACAGCTTCGTATCACACCACTTAGGCCGATGGTCGTACCTTCCTGGTCCAGTAAAAGGAGTCTGAAAAACAAAACTTTAACTTAGCGGCGCGAAGACTAGAAAGTATGTGTAATACAAGTTGCTTCACACATCGCTACATGTGTTAGATCAACTCAGAACTACATTTAACCTGTGTATTCATTTAGGCCGTTGGAGCGTCAGTGTAGAGCCCAGATAGACGGGTATTATTTTTCAAGATTTTGGCATTCTGCCTTTCTCATTCGAAAGCTCTAGCTAGTGTTACAACTATTGCTTGCATCTTTCCTTCACAGTGAACTTCGCGTTATAAACTAATGTTGCACAGTTGATTTTTCATAATATTTTGAAGGACAAATCGGATGATGCAAAATCTACCATATCCACTTCATTATTGAAGTCGTTGTAAGGACCGGTGCCGAAAACAAATTGCCATGAAAAAGTTGCATAAGAACGCAAAGGAAAATTTTTCATGCCATGGTTGTGATGCGTCTAAGCTTAAGCTTTCGGTCAAAGACTGTTTTTATACCATTAGAAACAAACTAACTGTTAGAACTATGAAGAGATTGATTTGATACTGATACAATATTGCATAAGAAAATTTCGGTAAATTAAACGGAGGATCGTAAGTCACAGCTGTCTCCAGCAGTAACCGAAAGAAAGGTCGTGCTAGAAGTAACATCCCGTTCATATCTCCTAATTCCAAGTCGATGTTTGTCCTCATGAAATCTACCGCCATTCTACAACTGGCAGACAGATCAACGCCCTCCCCGGTAAGTGTCCAAACCACAGCAAATTATTCACTTCTGCTTATCGTTTTAGAGAAGTAAGCTCATCATCCTGACCTAGTACTACCTTCCCTATATCATTTTTGTGGACACTGTGGTCACATCCCATACAAGTACCGTTTTGAAAACAAGAGTAATCGAAAAGGTGAAATCCCTCAGATCCTCAGGTTGAAGGGGCAAACTCACCTAACTATAGAGAAGAACGGCCCACATTGAGACTCCGTATACTGATGTCACGTACGTTATAGGTTAAAGAAGACGTCTTTAGGTATGCCATTACGAGAACTAACTTTAGCAGAGTGCGTGATCCCATCGTTTCTAGTTTACTGGCAGATATACGAATGGGACATCTCTCTGAAATAACTATTTTGAAAGTCAGTAGGTTGTGAGGTGGTTAATGGCTCCGTAGCGATGTGCACTTTTCGAAGTTGTGCTACATGCCAGAGTATGTGTCTTCTCTATCTAGTATATCCATAGCTGGCTGCTGCGTTGCAATTTCCAAACAACAAGACAATATCGTACTCATAAACCAGAGAAGAACATTTTCTGCAGGTTAATTTCCGCATTAGGAGAACCCAAAATACCGTTCATAAATAAGTTTAAGATAAGGGTGAACAAAGTAAAACCAAGTTTGTCAAAGTAGAAAAAGCGATTGACTGGGAGTAAATTTGTACTAAACTAGTGGGATACAGCTATAGTCGGCCTGCAGCACATATGACACTGTTCCAGAACCTGCCACAGAGTAGTGATATTGCCATTACAGTTGCGTTTCCTTGGAGAACCTGGCTATCGTCTTTTCCTTATGGATTGCCGTTCCGCAGTTAACTGACGGGCGAGTATGGGAGCCGATAACTTTGCAGTACCGGCGTTAGGATGTTATCTTGCAGTTTTGTCAAGCGACACATTTGCGCTACTATAGATTCCACTATGCTTGATCCTCCAAATTAGGTTGCGAACAGATGCACCTTTTAGTTCAGTACAAAAGGATGGAAGAATGCCTTGCAGAGGTCCTCACCACCAGCATCGAATGAAGCTATATTCTATTCCAGCTATGAAGCCGCAATTTGGTTAGATTTGCCACCGGTATCAACCATGTGTGTTGCTACGTTAAATGAGCGCACAGTATGGCCACCTATCGTTTTGAGAAGTATGGGAAATACTAAACTGGTTACCTTCTCATAACGCGCCAATAAGAGTTTATGTATCCGAAACAACTGCGTACTACTTTATGAGCCAATTTTTTACCACCCCAGTTCCTATCGATCGCTTGATTTGTCTTCAAAGTGTGGTCATCACAAATTGAATAGAAATGTGTACTTTATAAGTACCCTCCTTGCATGGAGTTCTCCTCTTCAGTGCTCTGGGGATTTTACGAAATAAATAAATCGCTCAGCCTCGATTTTTAACAGCAACTTGCACCGGTGTCAGTAATACATTGCACAAGATCTGCTTGCTAAGGTGCTCAGGTCCTGCACGCTTCATTTCCTTCTCCATTCAGCGAACGCAGATGATGTGTGTTCCAACTGTTGTTTCGAGACCTGTACCGGTTCTACCACCGTTAAAAGTAACCAGCACAGGTACTGATTTCACATAATATGGACTGAGTAGACACAGTTCATCCGCGACTGGCGGGGACCGAGTGACACCTAAGCGTCGGTATGCTGTTATACTGCCTATGCCTTCCTCCACCACGGTTAATGTGTGACGTACCAAGCTCTAGATAGAGTCTGTTGATCACAAGGAATCCGTACTTGTGATCACTGAGGACACTTTGAACTGTCGCACTAGCTAATCACGACCAGTCCAGAGGTCTTAACAAAACGCTACTCTTTTCTTATCTGCTCCTTCAGTTTTGACAGATTCAATTCGCTAAGCCTCGAGTAGTGAATTCGTCCTGTCTAAGAAATACGCACTCACCCTAAAATACACTCCTGACACGTTTCCAAGCTACTGAACAAAATGTCACATATACTGTCTCCATAAGACTGAGACCAGGAAAATACATTCATCACACTTACCTTAGTCCGTTTCTGGTGTGAACAGAAAAAGAGCTAAGAGGAGCATTTTAATGATCGCGCAACTCATGCATCTAGTGTCGGATAGCTTATGGAATATCAACTCGGAGTCGCCGTACTAATTGTGATTAATAGCCAGACAGCCAACCAGAAACCAACATATCGGACTAGGCCATTGGATGCAAGGGGTGTAATCTTCCACGCGTGGTGATTGTGATATAAAGAGTTCGCTGCTTCTGTTTGACTTACTTATAGTTGTTATCCATTTAGGTTGCTACCCTACAACTGCATCGGTTAAGATAGAATCTGTAGAACAAAACACGTAGGGCTAATACAACTGGGCGTGTACCTAACGTTTGCCGGTACAACAAAGTTGATCAAAATGGTTATCTATATGACCGGTTATTGTACCAAGTCAGGTGAATGCTATCAGCTTATTTAGGTCAAAGTCTTATTTTGTGCACCAACTTGACTTTACTCGGACATTGACTCTTCTGACATACTCGGCTAAAGTTTGAGAACACAACTGACTCGTTTGCAATTTCTAACACTGTAGTGAAACCATATTTAATTTTTGAATCTAAAGCAATAGTTTCTGTGGTTACAACCGAGTTGACTAAAAGGATTTCCCACAAATGCCCGGCAGATTATTACTAATTCATTCCATCTCTGTGTCCATTAAATATTAGTTACAGTGTAACTCCTTGTCTTCAAGTTGAATTCAAGATTATAGTGTTATTGTTGCTCATATCCTTTTTCCCTTATTCTCTACACCTAGACCAAAACAAGTCGCTTTCGATCGGAAGTTTTAATTGTGGAGGAACTACTATTGTTTCTCCTTCTTCTTACCATCAACTGCAATGCTGCCCCACTGATCATTAAGACTTGTTAACAGGTAGTCATGGATTACTAGTCTATTTGATACGTTTACTTCTATGCAGCGGAGTCCGGCAACCGTGACACGGTTGTTGTGCTCTCTTTGCACATCTTTATTGATTACCCCAGTCGTGGCGTATGACAAATAGATCCGTATGTTCAGCAGTGATCAATCTGTGTTGTCTCAGCGGCACAGAAAGTGTGTTGGAATGTCGTGTAGCTTGCCGTGAGAAGCAATCGGTGCATGTGCAACGTTGCTGTAGTAGAATGAATAATTTCGAAGTTATCACAAGAGACTCAGTGCAACGATTCAGACTGAACCCATAGTTCTCAAAAGAAGTCTAGACCAACGAGGATGCACATTGATTCCAGCGAAGCTGGCAATGAAAATCTAGATGAACATGCAGCAATTAGGTAGTACAGTGACTCATTTACGAAGCGGGGGTTTCTGACCGACGTCACTGCGTGATTCAGTATAGGAAAACAATCGTCAACTGCGAATGTTTGAATCGCAATAATTGATCGCCGATCAACGTGCATCATCCATAAAAAAGACGATTAATCAGAGACTTGCTTTTTGCTAAGTTACTGTTGTAATAATAAAGTGCTTGCACTATGAAGGATTGGATGATCTACTCTTATTATAAGCAATCCCATTAAACTAACAAAGCAAGCGCTGCACATATGCTTACAGTTGCCTCGTTACCTGCATCGTGTGCCCGAGACGCATGAAACCTTTACAAATACACATATTTCTAAGGACTGCTGACGAAAACAGCGTGAACCACTTCATTGCGGCGAGGGGAAAGTCTAAGTCAAATCCATATAAAGTGCTGCATACTTGTGACTGCTTGTGAATACGGAATACTGTACTATAGAGCAAGTAGAAATGAATTCTGTACAACTCTTGCGAAATATGGTGAAAAACCTTATACAAATTGTCAGCCGAGAATATCGTTCTTTCTCTCATGTAACATTTAAACTATCTAACTCACGGTATTGCAACACTTACAAATGTGACATGTCATCGTAAGTGTGCAATCGTTCTCTGAATCGAATAGTGGTAAAATATAAATCTAACCACGTTTTGAACTGCTGCACAGATGTTTCCTCCATCACATGTTCAGACAAAATGTTCCAAATATTTACCGCTCTCTGTTCGAAGCACAGTGGGTGGGGAACACGTTTCACATCCGGCAGGACAAGTTTGTATCTGCGTACGCGTGTGCTGCATGCCCTTCTAAGTGCAGGGTTGGCCTCAGCATGAGGAAGTCACCGAGATGTAGAATACGGTAGGTCATAATGAGGTTGGCTCGCACCTAACGGTAGAACAAGGTGTGGAGTCTTAGTTTCTCTCACCGGTCTT